GCCATTGGAGGGACTTGAGGCTTGTGGGCATTATTTTGGAATACTTGGCCCTTAGGCTAGGGAGGTTGTTCAACAGTTGTGGATTCACCAGTGAATCTCGCTCCCATCACTGTGAAATCGTATGTCCCATCTGATGTTGTGGGCGAGATGCTTTGTACCCCCTTTTGACAGTGTAATCCCAGATGTGCATGGTTTGTTGGCCCATCCATTCAAAATTATTCAGGTCAAAGGGAAGTCGGGCAGTGGAGTGTGGAAGGGCTCGTTTGCATGATATCCGTTGCCCTGGTCGCTCACCACTCTCACATTCATTAGCCCGACCCACGGTTCTATGGTATCCAACTCTTCGTTTTGAGGCAGTTGAGAGAACCACACTCATGGAATGTGCAGGGTGAAGGCCTCCAAAGTGCACCTCCCACCTTCAGTATTGTGCACCCTGTAAACAATCGTCAGTGTGGGAAGGTCAATGTACCTAACCAACCAGTCATGTGGTCGAATTGTCGAGCCGGTTTTGAGAGTTTGCCGTCAAGCTAGAGGGATAGCATCTATCACTTGGCGGACATTTTTCATACCCGTTCCTTACTTGCCTCAGCTTGGCTTGAAGTTGCTCCGGTGTGACCAAATTCTGCTCGACCGGCTCCCATAGATCACCGATCGTGTAGATTCTTTTCTTTGCCCATAAGACTGAGAGGATTAGTTGTAAGCAGAAATGGGTTGTGACGATCTCTTTTTTGTAAGGGCGTCATCTTCTGCGCTGTAGTATTGAGGGGGAGGGGGCGGAGAAGAAAGGACTGGGCCCGATCGCACTAATTTTTTTTTTCGGCTGGGACCACGATGCTTGGGAGGCCGCGCCATAGCGGGTGCGGAAAATAACGGTTGACGCAACTTTTTTTCTCTCTTTGTGTTTTGTTGACAACGGAACTGGGCGGGGAATTTTTGGCGTAGTTACCACGCGGGGAAGTTTCTTGCATTTCTTTTTCAATTTTGAACATACACAGGGTCTCGGATTTCCTTTTTGCAATTAGGATTCATTTGGAATTTGGAGCATCGTAATGTTTTACTCTAACGGCACAAGACTCCCTATTCGCGCGCGCATTACTGCGTGCTGCTCTACGCCCTGCTCCCGCCGCACCTAAATTTTCATTGCAACTCTAATCTCTCTTCTTGCTCCTTCTTGGCGAGCTCAGATGTATCTAAAATCCTCTTACTTCTTGATTTTTTTCCTTTTTTGTTGCGCAAAGTTCTTTGTGTCTCTCTTTCTGTTTATCTCATTGGCTTGCAGGAGCATCACTGGATCGATGCGTGGAGAGTGGCACGTCCCCCACGCCTTGAACCCGTAAATGTACCCACACGCACTTCCTCTTCCTGTTTGCTTCTCGCTTCAACATAATTTGGAATTACCTCGCGCACCTACTAAACTCTTATAAAGCTCGCATGCACGTCTAATTCGCTCTCTAATCTACACTTGGAGTTAGCGGGGTCGAGAGGATCGGTTAACGAGCAGGGACAAAGAGGTGGGTAGGGAGTTGGGCGATCCGACGAGCTGGTGCCGAGTATGCGGGGTTGACGTGTGGCCGCAAAGGACTGTGGCGTACGGGCGAACAAAGCTAGCATACTCAGACCAAGCTGGGTGACAACTTTGGGTTATTGATAGGTGCGAGGCGACAGACTGCCCGCATCGTGGGGATCTTGAGAGAGAGAGAGAGAGAGAGAGAGAGAGAGAGAGAGAGAGAGAGAGAGAGAGAGAGAGAGAGAGAGATGGAAAGAAAGCGGTGTGTTGAAGGGGGAATTATTCTCTTCACATCTTCTGTTTAATTTTTGACCTTTAGCTTCGGCCATTTTCAATTGCGGCACTTTTTGGACCTTCCAGTCTTTTCTTCGGTTGATGCATAAGGCATTTTTAAACCCCCCCCTCTCTTCACTGTGATTGTATGGAGGATTGTTGTTTGTAAAAACAATGGCGCAAGAAATAAACGTCTTACTGATGTGTTGAGATATGTATGTGATTCTGCCCACTTTTGAAATAAGTATGTCCTTGTGATGATTTGCTGTGTGATTGGGTTGCCTCGGGGCGGATGTATATACAGCGAAAAGGTCGTGATCCGTGTGTATGTCTGAGTGGGAGTTGGATTTGAAATCTTCCATGCATCAATTGCACATAATTGTAGATGAATAGGAATGCGATGTTCGCTTCATCCCCTATGACCAACGAATGACCACTCGACCTGTCTGAGCTGATTCAAAGTCGGTGGGAGTAGATCAGGTGCACGCACATATACGAGTGATCGTCAAACGACACTCGTCACGTATATGCGCGTTTGCCTGACCCAACACCTCCCCTCCTTTGCACGACCAGATGTATGAGTTAAGCTCTTATTGCGGAATATGGATGTCGGCGTTCCCTTCACGATCACCGACCGTGCCAGTCTGAGGAACCCTAAGTACAGGGACAACTGAGAGAACGAACAACTTTTCACCGATAGAACTTACGGCTTCCAGATTACCCCTGTCAAACGGAGAACGATCAGTTGTGTGCTTGGGACTTCCACCGGACCCTTGAACGGAATTCCCGAACCTCAGACTACCCTAACCCCCGTAACCCTCAGTACCATCTTCGTCGGGGTTTGTCGCCATTGAAACCGACTTCCCCTCATTCTACCTTCTTCGCCCTTATCACCGTTTGGCGGTAGTTCCCTGGGACTCGATCGCACATTGCTGACCCCGGAGTCCGTGTTCTGAGTGCCATCACCTGACTCATCAATACAACATTTACTGAGCAGCGGGATTCATACGACGGACCCGCATCGAAGTAGAGCGCCAAAAACACACTCTCTGGCTGAGACTGTCCACGTCAGATTCATAAATTTGTGAAACTCGTCGGCGACAGGTGTTTGAACAAAGAGACACCCATTGTGTTCCATCGGTGCACCAAGTGCAAGTCCGCCCAAGGCGACGGGGCCGACAAAATTAGTTGCTCGACCCCGAAAAAGGCAAAGCCTAAGGCCTGACCCCGCATAGCAACCACTGCCATTTTCATCCCTGAATCTTGACACTGGAGATCCCAGTTCTGATTTGGGACTCCACCCCACTTTCCGAAAATCCTTGGCACACCCCTACTACACACTTCCTCGCCCCCTATCACTCTGAAAACAGGAAGTTGCGTTGGGCGTAAGGTTTGGGCGTCACAGGGTTACCAGCTTCGTCCAGGATGAAAAGGTTGTCAAATAGCCGCATATATCATATGCCTGAGTCGGAGGGGGCGCGAGATTGTGCAGTGGTTGTTGGTCGACCATTGGAATGGGTGCACCCGGTTAGGGGCAACAAATTTGGGTGCTAGACCAACTATCAACACACACGTCAGGGGGGGCCATGGGATGTCGTTTCCTTCAAGGAGTCTGGTTAGCATCTTGAAAATCATGGCTCACCCTCCCTTTTAGGGTTTACTATCCTAACCCCCCCTTTCGCTTTTGGTTGTGTGAGGGTGTCCCAACTCACACTGCTCATGCAACCTTCCGATTTGGCGCTATTTTTTGACAAATACATGATTGTGAGCGCCTTTCTCGGCCTGATATATTGTTGTGGTTTCAGTGGCCACACTGCAAGTTTGTACCATATGGCTGCGGTAATAGCATTGTTGATCGCCAGCGCCCGACCCACCAGCGATGTGTGCAGTCCTTCCCATCTTGCCAGACAGTCAATGGCCGTGTTCACCAGGATGTCCCCGTGGTCCAGCGGAGGTCCCATTGCTGTTAGCCTCACTCCCAAGATCCTGATGGCGTCTTCCTTTCTTGCCCATGAGACACATCGGTCTGGCCGGGGGTGCAAGTCTTGAGGGTGGAGCCACCAGCCCTCTTTCCTTCAGCCCCAATTTACTTTCATGCCGGCCGCCATTGAGAAGAGGTGTATGATTTGGGTTAGAGCCTGAGGCTGTCGGCGTCTGCACACGTAAGGACTGTGAGGTCCTCTGCAAACGGTGATGTCACTGGGATAAGGTGGTCCGGGATATCCGGGATGTGCACTGTACTATTTTTCGGGTGGGCTCTAATCAAGGCTGCTAGGGCGTCCATGACTATTACGAAGAGCAGGGGCGTGACGGGGTCCCCTTGACGTACCGACCTCTTGCAGCGTTATTGGCGACGAAAGGTGACCATTGAGCATTATGAAAGGACTTTCAAAAGAGTGGGGCCAGATCCATATGGGTCAGGGTCCCCCTTGTTGCAAACTCCCGAAGGTATCCCAATCAGAAACCTCTGCCAGAGCCCCGCAATGTGGCTGAATGGTACAGACGTGTAACTGCCAACAAACAGGTCATGGGCTCGAATACTTCCCACTGGAATGTGAAAAACACGGTTAGGTAGTCCTTCTAGGCTCGAAAAAGCAGGGGAAATCAAAACCCCTCCACCAGCGGGTCACGGCCGGGTAAGTAAGGGCATCGCCACACCACTCTCCAAATAAAAGGGCCCTCGCCACGGTGGTCTTCGTCGGCAGTCAGGTGCAAGTCTGTTCGTGGACGTGGAGTGGACTTCAGTGTCGGCCAATGAATGATACCTGCGTGGCATCCCGACTCCTGTCAATCGCTTTTCTTTGGCGATAGCCAACGATCAGAGTCTCGCAGATTTTTCTGGTCTTGATAAGATGCTGAGAACAGCAGTTTGGAGGAGCATTCTCCCCCCCCACCAAAAAAAAGTTTGGAGGACCCCGCCTGCTTCCCACCCTCTGGTTCGGCCGTAAAACCTGACACGCCGTAAGAAAACGCAAGGAAGCGCGCCAATTTCATGTCGGTATTACCGAGGAAGCGGGCCAATTTCATGTCGGTACTACCGGAGGCCTACCGCCCACGTTGCGTATTTTCCCGGGCCATGGCGGATCAGTAGGGCTGCTGCGCAGCTGAGCTGGGAAGGAGAGGTGGAGGGGATACCGGAGAGAGAGAGAGAGAGAGAGAGAGAGAGAGAGAGAGGGAACTCCGCGTGCGCTTTTTCCGTCGTATCTCCGGAAGGTAGCAGAGCTTTTTAGGTGCTCGTCAACAACGAGGGAAAAACGATAGCTGCCGTTAGGTGCAACGAGATTTGGCGGCTATGGTGGCTATGGCGGCTATGGGCGAAACAGCCGCGCTAGTCATGCGCAGCGGGGCGGCGGCGGCCGCGGCCTCTCCGCTTACTCTTCAGGCCGCTAGGGGTACGGCCGGTAACGTGAATCGGTCGGGGTCTCGGTCGACCAGGAACTGGAGATCGTCGGGATCGACTGGACGCGACTACGGCCGCCCTTGTCGCGGACGTAAGCTTCGTCTTGATTCTGTCCCCTCGTCTGCTGTCATTGCGCGCCAAGCCTCCTGCTCATCGTCGGCTTCTTCCCACATTTCCCGCCAAGACCAATCTTTGAATGCGCGCCAAGCCTCGTCGTCCTCTTCTTCGTCCCGCGTTTCCCGCCATAACCAATCTTGCCGCTCGTGGCCATCTCACCTCGGCCGAGTACCTTTGGCGTCCTCGTTTTGGCGCGCAGCAGAGTCCTCGTCGTCGGTTTTGTCACTGGGCTCTACTGCCGCGCCTGTCGTATCTGAAGGCGGGTGGGATGAATCTGCAGGTGTCGTGTCTCAGCAGACGATCGAAGATAAGGAAAAGGATAAGGAAAAGGATAAGGTAGCGATTATTGACGACATACTGGCATTGGTGGAGGGAACTGACCGAGGGGCCAATTTGTCAGAGGATAGGAAGAAAGAGGTAGAAATGTTAACCCAACAGCTGGAGAATTTAGGGGGGTGCGAAAAACCCCTCGAAAACCCCCTTATTTTCGGTAATTGGCGGATCGCGTACGCGTCTGTGGCCACGTCAACGGGTGGGCGATTCCGCGGAACGAAACTTCGGCGAAGCCTCTTCGCTACTTCCGATCTTCAGCAATCGATCACGCCGCCCAATATTCTGAGAAACAAATTCGCTTTCAAAATACTAGGTCTTATCGATGGGGATATTTCCTTGAGAGGGGTCCTCTCGCCTGTCGAGGATTCCAGAACCGTTAGAGTAGATTTCGACCGTCCAAATTGGCGGATCGGACCATTGCGGTTAACTATTGGCGGTGAGAGCTTTGTCGTTCTCTCTACAACCTTCGTGGACGAGAGGGTGAGAGTGGGCAGAGGTAAGAGGGGCACGCTCATCATCTTCACTAGAGCATGACCAAAGCGCGGTGTTTCAGGCGTAAAATTCAATTAACGAACGAGTGTGTGTGTGTGTGTGTGTGTGTGTGTGTGTGTGTGTGTGTGTGTGTGTGTGTGTGA